GGGCGCTCTGCCCCGGCTCCCCGGCGTGCCTCCCCGCAGCCCTACCTGGGAAGGCAGCTCCTCCCAAAGAGCACACACAAACCAGCGCAAAGTCTGCAGCCACCCGCGCTGCTGGGGTGGCCTCCCGGGGGCCCTGGGGTGCCCAGCACGGCGGCAGCGAGACCTAGGCAGCACGGCCAGGGTGTCCTCCCTGCTCTGCCCGCAGCAGAGGATAGCCCCCGCTGCAAGGCTCCAGCCTCTGGCCTCGTCCTTCGTGGGCAGAGATAGGGGGACGGCCAGGCTCCTCACGCTCTGCGGCACAGGCAATAGGAAAACCACGAGCACAGGTGGCAGGGCGAGACGTGGGGCTCACGTCCGTGAGGAAACAGCTTCTCGCCACGCAGGACGGTGGGGACACGTGGGAGCTCAGCTGGGAGCAGCCCTGAAGCGAACACAAGGACGCAGCTCTGCCCACGCTTTCAGCTGCGCCCCGGGGCTCCCTGCCACAGGACAGGGAGAGCCTGTGGGAGGAGACGGGACACCCACACAGGGAAAAAACCCACGGGGATGAGGGGTACTCCAGGCAGGGGTTTCTCCACAACAGGGGTACACACACAGACCTGCATAAGAGGTGGTTTCTCTTACACAGCAGGGGTAGGAGGGTTTTCGGCTTGCAGGCAGTATTGAGGGCAGAGGCTGCAGGTGGAGGCTTTGCTGCCCAAATCCCTTTCCATACCACCCCGGGACCCGGCCTCCCCAAGCAGGACCCCCGCGCTTCCACCAGCATTCGTGTTTTAACTGGAGGCCAACGAGAGAGGTGGGAAACATCCTTATTTCTGCAGAAAGGTGAGAAGAAACGGAGATGAACAGACCTGTTTCCAGTACAGTAAAAAAGCATGCTGGTAAATATGAGCACAAAGCCTGTCCCTGACTTGCCGAAACAAAGCCTGGCAGGAATCTGAGGTTTGTTCAGCCCTGTGGCTCTTTCCTGTGTGAAAATGGGGCTGAAAGGGCCACCATGTGTCCAAGATCTGGGCAGTGACAGGCAGAGCTGGGACAGGGCTCAGGGCACTCTCAGCCCCATCTCTCCCCATCCTCAGATGGGATAAGGCTCCAGGGGGAGAGCATCCCTCCTTTCTTGGGCACAGCAAGGCACTGCTGAGGACGTAAAGTGCATCCAGGCTGGCAGCAGGCAATGGTAGCGTCTCCCTGCCACCGGTGCTCCAATACCACCATTTTGTGGGAACAGGAGCCACGCCAGGGGCCCCAGCCAGCTTAGGCAGGCAGCGTCGGCCGGCACTCAAGGTCCAGCACAAGGTGATGCACGTGGGGCGCGTAGGACTTCACTGCCTCGATGTGCAGGATGCTGGTGCGCCACGGCTGCCCATGCAGCTCTGCCAGCAGCCCTCGGATCCGTGCTGCCGTGGATTCAGCCCACCTCTGCCACTCAGGTCTGATCCTGGCCCCCAGTGCCTCCTTCCCACCATCCTCCATTGGGTGCTGTGCTTCTCCATCAGAGTTGGCTCCCTCTGGAGACCCCAGCTCAGCCCTCAGGACCGGGGCCTGCAGCGGGGCCGGTGTGGGGAAAGTCTCCACGTTGTGGTGGATGTGGAGAACCCCGCCTGTGCCCTTCTTCAGGCCCCCCAGCCAGCCTTCCTCTGAGCTGGGAATCAGTCCCAGATTCACCCGGTCCGCTACGTCCTGCAGCTCCAGCTGGAAGGAGAAGGGAGGTGAGGGGGATGCTGCACAGGGCCAGGGGGGCCGGGGCCGGTCGGCACTGCTCACCTGCCTGCTGTCCCCATGGTGGATGTGGCAGCGGTCCTGCACGCCGTTCAGCACCAGGTTCCTCTGCAGGGCCTCCACAGCGTGGCTGTTCCACTCGCAGGCGTGGGCAAAGGCGGCTGCTGCGTGAACCAGGTACGGCAACGTGAAATAGCCGATGCCTGGGGGCAGGAGAGGTGGCAGAGGCTGAGGGCAGGGTCCGGGCACCAAGGAGGGGTCCGCACTCCTCCCTGGAGGCAGGGCGAGATGTGGGTTACCACCCTGCCTCTCTGCATCTGCTTTGCTCCAGATCAGAACAAACCCAGACACTGCAGAAATGGAAATTCATCCCCCCTCGCCTCTGCAAAAGCAAAATCTACCTGGAAAAATGTTTACAAAGAAGCTTATTTTACCTTCAGTCTTTAGCCATTAGCTCGAGACCTGCCTTGCAGAAGTGCCCAGGCTACCATTTATTTTAATCCAGAGCAGTTTTGTGAGTGCCACACCCTTTTTGCATGGCACAGATTGGATGCACTCACTTCTCTAAGCACAAAACAGCGTCTCTCTTGACGTGCAAATGCCTGATGCGATCTCCCCACTCATCTCACAGCACAGGACGACTCAATTAGCCCCAGCTTGTCACGGAAGTGTGTCAGTACAGGCTCGGGACATCTACGGGAACTTTTCAGAAACAGTACCAAGGGCAAATCTTTTCCATAGATCTAAAAGATTCCCATAGCCTGAGTGCAAGGTCACCCTGAGTGTACAAAGGCAACAGTTCCAGGTTAGCTGAGAGCTCACAGACGGGGCAGGAGCTCTAAGCCTGGGTATTTTTCCAGTCCAGGCTGGAAATGACATTTCACATCCACTTGGATGCCTGCACCACTGCTTTCTGCCTGCCCACCTCTGCAAGCCTGCCCTGCCGCCGAATCCCCCTACTGTCCCAATTACCTGCGTACAGATCCACTAGGACCTCCCCGGAGCAGGGCAGCGAGGCCACTCGCAGCTTCTCCGTGATGTTGCCCGGTGAGAACATGCACTTGGTCACGTCAAACGTGTACCTGGGAGATATTACCAGCCTGGTGAGGGTAGCCCCTTCTCTGCACCAGCTGCCTCCTGCACCGTGGCTCCTGCCTACCTGATCCCATTGTCCATGTGCTCCACCCAGCCATCCTGGCCCAGCAGCAGGGTGACACTGGGGGACCGCATCCCATCCGGCAACACCCGCCCTCGCCTGGCCAGCCGCCGGGCACCCAGAGCAGAGGCAACCGTCTCCCAGAGCACTGGACCTGCAATGCACCCATCCCGGGAGTTTTGGGAAAGGCCAGGGCAGCTCTGTGGGCAGGCGGTGGGCAGGCAGACCCCGCTCCCCTTACCCAGCTTCTCCCAGGGCGCAGCTCTGAGGCTGTCCTCGCTCAGCAGGACCAGATCGCCGTGCCGCTGCCAGGCACGGGGCACATCACGCTCCAGCTCCTCTGACCAGCTCTCGCCTACCAGGCGCCGCAGCTCATCCCGCAGCTTCTGGGCGGGCGTCTGCCGGCGGGCTGCCCTGGAGGGGATGGGGTCCTGCAGGAGGGATGTGGCACATGGGGCTGAGACCCCGCCGGGCCATGGCAGCACTCAGGGAAGGGGAGTCTCTCCCAACCTGGATCCAGACCAGCCCACAGGGCATCTCCTGGGGC